GTGCTCCGCAACGCGAGAGGCCACAACAGTGAGAGGCCTGCGTACCGCAAAAAAATAATAATAATAATCTAAGTTCTAACTGATGAAACTAAAAAACCAAACCAAACCAAAAAACCTAAATATATCCAAAGAAAGTAGAAGGAAAGAAAGAGTAAAGATAAGAACAGAAACCAATGAAACCAAAAACAGGAAAATAGAGAAAAATCAATTAAACAAAGAGCTAGTTCTCTGGAAAAAAAATCAGTAAAATGGATCATGCTCTAGCAAGATTCTCACATAAAAGGAGAGAAGACAGAAATCATCACTATCAGGAATAAAACTAGGGATATCGCTACACATCCTGCGGCGTTAAAAGGATAATAAAGGATTCTGTGAACAACAGTGCACTCATAAATTCCACAGTTGACAAGAAATGAACCAATTCTTCGAAATCCACAAACTACCAAGATTCAACCAAGATGAAATATATAACTTGAATAATCTTACAACTATTCATGAAACTGTATGTGTAATTAGAAAATGCCCCTCCAAAGAAATCTCCAGCCCCAGATGGTTTCACTGGAAATTTCTACCCAACATTTAAAGAAGAATTAATGCCATTTTTACATAAACGCTTTCAGAAATTAGAACAGGAGGGAACACTTCCCAGCTTATTTTTATGGGGCTCATATTACGCTGATATCAAAACCAGCAAAGACTGTACAAAGAATGAAAACCACAGACCAATCTCTCTCATGAACTTAGAAGCAAAAATCCTCAACAAAATACTAGCAAAGTGAATCCAGCAACATATAAAAAAATTATACACATGACCAAGTGGAATTTATTTCAGACATGCAAGGGTGGTTCAACACCGACGTGAACATTAGTCAGTATACTCCATCATGCTAACAGGTTAAAGAGGAAAAATCACAGGAGCCTGTCAGCTGACTAAAAGAATATCTGACAAAATCTGAGACCCATGCATGACAAGACCTCTCAGCAAGTTAGGAATAGAGGGGAACTACCTCAATGTCATGAGGAACTTCTACAAAAGCCCTAAATAAATAAAGCTACGTCATACTTAGTGGTGAAAAAGTGAATGCTTTACAAGGATGTCCACTCCTGCAACTCTTCTTCAACAGAGCACTGGAAGTTCCAGTGCAACACAACAAGAAAAAGAAACTAGAAAGGATAGAGGTTGGAAAGGAAGAAATAACACTTTCCCATTTACAGGCAACATGACAGTCTGCATGGATATCACAAGGAATCTACCCCCGAAATCTAGACTTAGTAAGGGAGTTGGGCAAGGTCGCAGGACACAAGGTCAGCACACAAAAATCATCCACATTTGTGTAAACTAACAACACACATGTAGAAACTGAAGTTAAAAACATGACAGTATTTAAAAATAACTCAGAAAAAGAGAAATATTTAGGTATACTCTTAAAAAAAACCCCACAGATTCAGAATCTATACGCTGAAAATTACAAAATACTGATGAAAGAAACAAATGCACATCTAAATAAACAGAGACAACCTGTGATCACAGCGTGGAAGACTCCACACGGTAAAACTGTTAATTCTCCCCAAGTCCACCTATAGATTTGATGAAATTCCTATAAAAATTCCACCAAGGGTTTTGTGGACACAAACAAGCTTATTCTAAAACGTATGGAACGGTGCAGGAGCCAGCACAGCTAACAGGATTTTGATAAAGAAAGAAGGGGAAGGACTCACGCTACCTGATGGTAAGGTTCACCCTCCAGCCACAGAAATCAGCACAGTGTGGTCCTGGTGCCGCAACAGACACGTTGATCAAGGGAACAGATCAGGGAAACCAGAAATAGACCCACACAAATATGGGGACACGGTTTTTGACAAAGATGCAAAAGCAATTCTACGGGGGAAGGATAATCTTTTCAACAAACAGTCCTGGAGCAATTCGACATTCCTAGATAGGCACAAAAACCAAACCAAACCAAAACCCTCCACCTAGACCTCACTCCTTATACAAAATTAACTGGAAATGGACAACAGACTTCAGTGTAAAATGTAGAACCATAAAGCATGTAGGGGAAAAAAAAAGGAGAAAATCTTCCAGACTCAGGCTAGGTGACGGGTTCTTGCATTTCACACCCAAATCACAATCCATAAAAGGAAAACATTAATAAACTGGATCTCATCGAAATGAAAAACTTTCTTCCTGCAGAAGACTCTGTGGAGAGGTAGAAGTCAAGCTAAACTGACAGAGTAACTGCAAACCACAACCAGGAGCGTATTCAGAACATGCAAGGAGCTAACGAGACGGAACAACCCAATCAGAAAAAGGGCAAAGACGAGAACAGGCTGCTCGTTGAGAGGATGTGCAGAGGGCAGACGCACACACGGAAAGACGGGCATCATTATCCGTGAGAGAAACGCAGACTAAAATCACGGTGAAGTATCGCCGCACACCTGTTAGAGGCTCAAATAAAAAACAGTGACGGTGCCAAAGGCCGTTGTGGAGATCCTGGATCACTCACACCTGGCTGGTGGGATGTAAGACGGTGCAGCCGTTCTGGAAGAGAGGAGGGCAGTTTCTTGTGAAATGGAATACGTGTTTGCTATTTGACTCAGCAATGGCACTCTTGCTTAGGCATTTATCCCGGAGAAATGAAAACTGTGTTCACACAAAAACCCGTACGTGGACGGTCACAGCAGCTTTACTCAAATAGCCCCAAACTGGAAACCCTCAAAGGGCAAATGCTTAAAACCAAAACACTATGGGAGCGGGGTGGGCATCCATTCCACGGAATACTACTCATCAATAAAACAAGAACAAGCTGTCAGTATACTCAACGACTTGGAGAGATCTCAAGAGAATTGCAGTCAGTGAAAAAAGCCAATCACAAAAGGTTGCATGACTCTACTTAAATAGCATTCTTGAAATGATGAAATTATAGAAAATGGGGAACAGATTAGTGGTTGCCAAGGGCATAGGGAGGGAGAAGGGGGAAGTTGGCTGTGGCCATAAAGGGCAGCCCTAGGGAATTTGTGATGGAGCTGTCCCTGCCTGAGGTGGGTGGTCACACGATTGTACATGTGTGATAAAATTACATAAAACTACACACAGACACACACACGTAAACTAGCGAAATCTGACACCTCAACACAGCTGATGATTGTACCAATGTTAATCTCCTGGATGTGATGTTGTCTATAGTTTTGCAAGATGTTATGAGGCATATATGGATCTCTCTCTATTATTTCTCACAATTGCATGTGAATCTACAATTATCTCAAAATAAAGAGTTTTAAAAAATGGCTTCCGTGAGCAACCTTTGTATGTGCCCTATGCACTCATATCAGGTTCTCCCTACAGGGTGAACTTTGGAGTGAAATCACAAGGTCATAGGGAATGTCCGTCATCAGCTTTCCTGAACTCTTCTCTAAAGTGTCTGTTTTTATTTACACTCCTACTCACAATAATGTGAGTTCTCACTTCTCTACATCTTCCTCGGTACTTGGTATAGTCAGAATTTAAAATTTTTACCAGTATGATGGATACAAAAAATTATCCCATCTGATGTGATTTTTGACTCCCTGGGAACTAGTGGGTTAAACATCTTTTCATATTTTACTAGCCCATCTGGGTTTTCTCTTCTAGGCCAGGCTGTTCAGTCACATCTTTTTCTATTGGGCAGTTTGTTTTATATTGCTGAATTTTAGAATGTTTGATACATTCCAGATACCTCACCTAAGTCTGTTTATCCTCATTCTCTAGGCATCCATCTTTTTTTTTTTAATAATAGAGCCTCACACTTACTCAGAGGTGTTCACAGAGTCCAGATCCATATTTATGAATTTTTAGCAATTACTGACTCTGAGACTTTGCTAAAAGCTTCAGAATATGCACTGTTCCCTATTCCCGGTTGCAGCGTGAGCTCTGGATGTGGCCTCAGCTCACGCCTGAGAGCTGCAGCCTCCTGTCTGGTCGGCCTCTCCAGCCCCAATTCCTTGCGATAAGTCACTCTTGTGCATCTCCCATTGATTCCGTTTCTCTGGCTAAAGCCTGACAGCTACATGTTTAGGTGGAGTTTGAATTCTGCTCATCTCTGCTGAATGGGACCACCAGGGTCTCCCTGTGTATAATTACTGTTGCTTTAAACTCACCTCCTGGGGCCCCAAACTCAGGCTGATTTAAGCTTCCTTCAGTGGCTCTCACGGACCAGTAGAAGTGTCCTCCTGCTTAATGACTACTTACTAAAAAGCGTACTGAGGAATTAGAGAACGGTCTTTCCTTCTTTACTGTCAACTTTACTGAGGAAGTTAAGGAAAAGATGACTAACAGAGACCTGACAGCAGCCTTGGAGGCTAATCACCCTGAAGAGGAAGCATATTTTGTTGGGCGTGGCCGCTGATTAGTGGTGGAATTTTAACAGACAGAGAAGTACAAGGTAGCCCTGTGGGCTTTTTAAGGCGTCCTACTTGCCCTGTAGGGCAGCAACAAAGGGCTGGTGGCAGGTTCCCAGAACTGAGTCCTGGGCACCCTGGGTGTCTCCATGCCTTGGTTTCCTAGTCAGTAAAAATGAGGGTACTGATAGGGTAGTTATATCAAATGAGGGGATCCCAGGGCACCCCGCCTATCAGTGAGGTGATGCATTGCTCTAAGAAGACAGCCTGGCAACTTGTAAGTGGTCAAAAATGCTACCTGGACACCTGGGTGGAAAAGGCACAGAGACGGTGGCTGATACTGTGTCAAATTTTTAAAGAATCTAAAGAGAAACTAAAAGTCAAACAACAAAAGGTTTCTAAAGTGGATTTGAACCAAACAGCTTTTGCTTAACCCTGAGTTAATAAAGGGAGTTATTTCAGAACAGGTAAACCGTTGGGAGTGACTGTTAGCCAACACCTTACAATAATTTTGAACCGGATTCCCTCCCTTCAGGTTTTGGTTTATCCCACTTAAAAAAAAATACGACGACTGATGAGCACTTCTCCTGGGTTGGGAGAAACACAGCTGTGAGGCTGCGGCCCACCTGCTGGTTCTTTGGGCCCATCCCTCCCTGAAGAGCTGCTCTGTCCCAGGCTCCCCCTGGCTCTGCACCTGGGTCACCTCGTCCGAGGAGGCCCCCAGCACTCAGAGGTGGTCCTGCCAGGGAGAAGGGGGGTCAGGACTGAGCCCGATTCAGGGGGGTCCCAGACTTGTGGGTCACTCTGTAAACCATTTCCCTGAGCTGGGGGGCTAAAGTCTTCTCCAAAACCCACAGGTCTTAAATAGGACGCACCCTAAGTTCCCTCCGTCTGAAAATCTCTCTTTCTAGACCAGGTGTGGGTATCCCTGGCCAGAACAGCCAGGGGCCCCCCTGCACCGTGTTTACACCTCTCCCAGCACATCCCGGCTGTGGCCCGTGCCTTCCACAGCTGCAGAGGCAAACTGAACAGACGTTGTCGATTCTCACGTTGTAGCATTTGGAAAACAGAGAACCAGGAACCAGAAAGCGCTTATTTCCTGCCAGACTCCTACTGAGATCACCAAAGAAACGCAAACGTGGTTCCCAGCCCCACTCTGCCTTCTGAAAGGAGACGCTAAAAGAAACGAGGCAGTGCCACCAGCAGCCCAAAGGACCCAGAGCCACTGAATGTCAGGGAATCGTGCAGATCACAGGGCACCCTAAGGGCCACCCAACCCGGCGCCGGGCCCAGGGGGCTTCGCGCCCGGGGGCGCCAGGCGCACAGGTGGGCGCAGGTGGGCGCAGGCGGCGCGGCCCGAGCCGGGACGGGCCCCCGGAAGGCGGAAGCCCGGAGAGTCGCCTGTCGCCGCCCTCGGCGCTCAAAAGGAAACTGGTTTTCGGCTCGTGGGGCGAGAGGGGAGAGGGGGGGACGGCAGGAGTCGTCCGCTCGGCTCCAGGTGTGTCATTAAGAAGCACTTTAGGCTGGTGGGGACCCCTGCCTGCCCGAAAGCTCGCCAACAGCGCGCGTTCCCAGCCCGCCCGGGGCGGCCTCCTTGACCTCTGTCACCTCTCACCCGAAACTCTACCCTGACCCCGGCCGCCGGGCCCGGCCGAGCCCACACCTGGACACCCGTTGGGGACAGCCCCGCCGCTCTGGCTCGGCGTCTACACCCGCGCCCACCTCTCGCAGGGCGGCCGCCCGGCTGCCACCTGCCGCCACCTGCGCCGCCGCCCGGGGGAGCCCCGCGGCCGGGTCCCCGCTCCGAGGGCGCATAGGGGCCCTCCCGCCCCCGGCGAGGGTCACCCACCGTTCTGCGCTCGCCGCTCCCAGGCCGAGGGCGCCGCGGGGTCCAGGCCGCCTCCTCGCCGCGCGGGCCCCAAGCGCGCGGGGTCGCGGGGCGCCGGCGCCGCCTTCCGGGTCGGGCACGCGGGCCGCCGGGGCCGCAGGCTCGTCCTCGCTGGCGCGCGGCGGCGACTGACGGCGGCGGCTCCGAGCGCCGGGCGCGCCCGCCGCCCCTCCCCCGCCCCCCGGGCTTCCTGCGAGCCAGGTAAACACGGCCGGGCCGAGCCGCCCCACCTGTTGCCGCCGGCCGGGACCACCTCCGGGCGGCTCTGCCACGCGGGCTCGCTGCACTCACGGGCCCCGCGCGAGGGCAGCCCCTGGAGGCGGGCGCGGACTCCGGCCGGGGCTGAACTGCGGCTTTTTGAGCCTCTGCTCGCGGCTGAGCCTCCGAGTCACCCCTCCCGAGCGCGCAGGGAGGGAGCCCTGAGAGCAGCTGCTCCACAGCCCGCTCCACGGCCGCCAGCGCCGGCTCCAGGGGCCCCAGAAACGCCTGGCCCCTGGAGAGCACCCGGGGAGCTCTCGTGCATCCCAGCACCCGGACAGGTGCTCCGCTGGAGAACACAGGCTTCCCGAAGGAGGCCAGCGAAGAGCGCTCGCAAAGCAGACCAGAAGACGCGCATTTGGAAGGGCGGCCCTGGGGCCTGCGGCCTGAAGCATCTACTGGCTTGTGGTCAGTGTCATCCTCTTGGTCCAGAGGAAGCCTCTTGTTTGGACCTTAGTCACCTGCACACAGTCCGGTGGTCCTTTCCCCTGCATTCTCACCGTCCTCCTGATGGTGAAAAAGTAGGATGTTGAGGGGAGACACAGACCAGACCGAGACCCTGGCGTCCCCCATGGCTTAGATTCCAGGTCAGGGAATTGAATCTGACGCTTTCCCGGAGTCCTCAGGGACCAACCTGGTTATTAGGGGGAGGGGAAGTCTGGTGCTTGGTGAGACCCAGCCCTGGTCCCCCCGGGCCGGCCAGAAGGGCCCCAGCTCCCAGTGTGGTGTCAGGGCTGTCTTCCCCAAGCATCCGCCCTCACAGGCCGGGCGTCTAGCAACCACGTTCCAATGCTGGTGATTCTAAGAGAAATGTGTCCACCGTCCCAGAAATATTTGATCCTTTCCTCAGAAAAGGTTGGCCTGGGGGTTTCAGGAATTAGAGAGGGGAGGTCAGCAGGGCTGCGGAGCAGGGATGCTGGCTGTGCCGAAGACAAAGTTTGCCTGTTCCCAGTTCTCCGTCCAAGCCTTCAACCCACTTGCAGCAGAGGGTGGACGGGCGGGGCTAAGGGGGCCAGAGGAGCCCAAGGGTGTGCGGGGCAGTGACTCTGACCCGGGCCGCTTCTGGGTCCCTGACTCAAGTCACTCTTCCCCCCCCAACCCCGATATTTCTTAAAGCTCAAGCCATAGTGCGTTCCATTTGGATGCCGGTTTTAGGATCACAAAGCACTTCTCCCCGCAGATGTCTCCTTGCTTCTTCCTAGGGTCACTGGGATTTGGGAAGAAGGGCTCCTGCCCTGCAGACATCAGTGAAGACTGGATATTGGGGAGTCCAGGCCACAGGGAAGCAGCAGGGTTTGTCCCGCCTCATGCTGTGTAGAAACCTCGCATATGCCAACAGCCATCTCTGCAAATGTCAGGCTTGCCAAGCTCCAGTTAAATGCTTTTTAAAGTATTTATAAGATCCCACCATGCCTATATTTGGGGGATATAATGCCCCCAAATGCATGGGAACTTCAAGGAAAATGTATGTGAGGGAACGAGGAACACGATTTAATAAAGTGACAGAGGGACTTCCCTGGTGGCACAGTGGTTAAGAATCTGCCTGCCAATGAGGGGACACGGGTTCAAACCCTGGGCCGGGAAGATCCCACCTGCCGCGGAGCAACTAAGCCCGCGAGCCACAACTACTGAACCTGTACGCAGCAACAAAGACCCACCCAGCCAAAAATAAATAAATTAATAAATAAATTTATATAAAAAATTTAAAAAATAAAGTGACTGGTGGGCATTTGGAAGGTCCCTCATGCCAGGGAAAGGACCCAGGAAGTAGGAAAGCAAGCGCTTCCCTGTGAGAGGTGTCACGCTTCACATGAAGATGGCCTTGCATCTTTGAGCTCAATGAGAGAGATTGATTTTATTCAAAATGGGTCTTTTGACAGGTAAAAGATAAATGATCCAAACTTCATTGTCTCTGATATTTCTAAGAAAATCATATGGCCGTTCCCTCCACCTCTTACTGCTTTTTGCATAACGAGGGCAGCAGCCTTCAGCATTTCCTGTCGTAGCAGGGAGCACAAAGTTTCCTGCATGATACACCTTCAGTTCGTTTTTGTTCAGTCCTATTAAACTGCATATTACCCAAACTGAAGGAAGAGAGGAAGCTAAATAATTTCCAAGAGACCACACTACATGCATTTTGAGTTTCTAAAGAATTTTCTTCATCAACAGATTTACCTTTGTAATTATATTTTTGCTTACAAAAGCCCTGAAATCACTTTCATCTCTGGTTTTAATTAAGTTTGCTGGTGATATCCACAAACTGTTAATCCACTTAATTTCCAGTTAATCCACTTAAATTCCAGTTAATAACTGGACAGGTTCTGCTGTGGTCATGATTGCAAGAAATCAGGTGCATGAACTCCACAAAGTGCAACATAAAAAATTATGTAAGCAAGGAAAGCGTTTGAGGGAGGCTTCTAGACTACAACCAGACACACACACATTCACACACACAACCACACACATACAACCACATACACACACACAAGCCACTTCTCACTTCACTTCTTTTCATCCAGGAAAAAAAAGAAAGGAAAGGAGATTTGTACACGTTTGATTGTGTGGGAAAAAACAAAAAAACTTTCACACATTTTCTACCATCAATTTTTTGACATTGCTGTTATACAAACTGTTTTACAAAGGGTACACACACACACATATAGTATTTTTCTTTAACCATAGCTCCCTAATTTTATTAATAAAAATAAAAGCAAACAGCTTTCCGTAAGATCCAAGTCACTCTTCAACTGCAGAAGTAGATTCTGGATTCAGTGTATTTTTGAAGGAACTCTGTACACATTCAATAGATATCATCCTCCCACTCTAATTGCTTCTAGAATTTCCTCTTCCAGGGAGCTCTCAACCCTGAATGGCTTGTTGGCAACCCGCCTGGTGAGCTCTGGGGCTCATCTGCGCTGACGAGCAGAGGCTTGACGATCCTGGGTGTCGTGTGGCAGGTGTAGCTTCCACACGCGGCCCCAATGCCATCCCAATCCCACAAATCCCTCGTTCTCCTTCCTCTGTGCCTTCGAGGCCAGTGCCATGGAAAAGGAGGAGGTGAGTCTCTGCCCTTGAACCTGGGCACATCCCTGTGACGGCCCCAGCCGTGGAGTCAGGCCCTGGATTTCTGGGGCGAGGTCACAGCAATGACGAGCACATCTGCTTTCCTCTTCAGGGCCAGCGCCCTCGGAACCCAGCCACCGTCCTCTGAGGACAGCCTGTGCCAGCCCAGGAGACACCAGCGGCTTTCAGAAGGGACCCCGCCTGAGTCGCTGTGGCCTCTGGGTCCCCCCAGCTGAGGTCCCAGGCCTCACGGAGCAGGAATTGTCTGTCCTTCCTGTGTGCTCCCCGCAACCCTGACCCCTCGAATCTGCGAGCACGGTGACACGGTTGCACGGTGACACAGGCCAAGGAGCCTGGGCCCCCGGGCCCGGAAGAGATGGGGAGGACCCGGCCCTGGAGACTCGAGAGGGAGCGCGCCCGCCCCTTCATTCCGGACTTCAGCTCCAGGACAGCGACAGAGGCTCTTTCCGTTGTTTTGAGCCACCCGGTTTGTGGCACTTTGATACGGCTGCCCCTGGAAGCAAACTCATGGAGTCACAGAAGGAAAAATAGAGGACCAGCCGTTCGCGTAAAGAAACCTCACGTGAACGGGGACAGGACAATTCGATGATAGAAACGGTGGGGCGTGGGATGAAGGAGGTAAGGGGAGGCCAGAGGGAGGCACCCTGGGGCCTGATCTGGGACTTCGATCTGGGACCCCGACCACCTGGGCCCCGAGAGCCTTCCCCACCTGCCGTCCTCCTGGTTCAGGCAGGTGGGCTGCAGCCTCAGGCCCCCAAGGCTGGGCCAGCACCGGAGCATCTACCTGGGCACCTGGAAGGCCCAGCAGGCGGGTGGGCAGGGAGCCAGGCTGAGGTCCGAGAGGACCCGAGGGTCTCCCTGCTGTGCTTCTTGGGGTGCAGGGCCGCGGGGGAAGGGGGAGGGCAGAGGCACCAGCCCGGGCAAGCACGGAGGTGCGAGATGCTGAGGAACTGCGGGTTTCAGGGGTGTGACCTTGTGGAGGGGCTGTGAGGCCAGGCTGCCCTGGAGCAAAGGGTTGAGGCCGAGGAAGCTTCAGGACGGTCATTCCACAGCTCTGGGGAGTGGATTCCCAGGAGAGGTTGGGGCGGAGAGAACCCTCTGGAGAAGAATAGTGACCATAAAAGTGAGCTGACTGCTGGAGGCGTCACCTGCTTCCAGCAGCACTGAGGCTACTCCCTGCATCAGCCCTGGGTCCTCACGGCGCCTCTGGGATGAGATCCCCGATTCCCATGGTTCCCAGCGTCCGGGGCTGCCCGCGGCGCCCGCTGAAGGGGACACTGCTCGGGGGCCTGCGTCTCTGCTGTCGGGACCACCTGCCCGTCAAGCCCTGGGAAGGGGCCTGGCTGGTGGACCCGTGGTCCATACCTGCTGCCGTCGTCAGAAGGACTGGGGTCAGACTTCAGAGGCTGGTGGGCCGGCTGCAGAGCCCACGTGCTTCCCTCTTTGCTAAAGGCAGAGAGCAGGCAGTCCCTGCTGGACGGGGAAGGGGAGGGGGGCTGAGGAAGAGGGCGAGGTCCCGGTGACACTCAGACCCCTGGCAGGATGGCCGAGATGGGGAACATCGGAGGAAGAGTAGGTCTGATGGAGACACGAGGGAGGGTGGTTCTTGAAGGGCAGGCCGGATGCCGGGGTCCTGGCAGCTCAGATAATACACCCAAGTTCTCTCGCTCCCAGGCACGCGGGGTGTCACCTTACACACATTCCCAGCCGGGCTCACAGCCCTCCGTCTCCCAGCGGCTGGCCGTGTGCACTCTGTGAAGCCCCCTCTGCAGTGCCACGCCCCCCATGGGCTGGGACAC